GATTGGAAAAGGGCGAATGTACTGCTCATCTATAAAAAGGGAAATAAGGACAATCCAGGTAACTACAGACCAGTCAGCTTAAATTCTGTCCAGGAAGATAATGGAGCAAATATTTAAATCAGATTGCAAACAGCTATAAGATAATATAGTGATAAATAAGTCAGCATGGATTTGTAAAAAACAAATCTTGTTAAACCAATCTGATAGCTTTCTTTGATAGGATAACAAGCCTTGTGGATAAGAGGGAAGTAGTAGATGTGCTGAGGATCTGAGGTGAGCCCACAGGAAGAGGACAATTGGCCTGGATCATCCAAGCTACTGCCCAACACTGACCCAAGGGAAGTCAATGATTGGCCAGGGTTACCAGGACACTTGACAGACATGGCACCAAAAAGCAACTTGTGGCAACCCTGAGGCTACAGGTACATCTGGAGGAGTAGTATAGCGTGTCTCAGGGATGGTTGGAGTCAGTCAGTGTGTTACAATGTCGACTCCCCACTGAGTGAGCGGCAGACTACGCTGCTGCTTTAGGGCCCTGGACTGGGGCTCAGTGGAGTGGGTCTTTCTGTGCCCCTCTGCCACCTTCCCTTTGTGAGTGGAAGCCTCCCTTTCCACCCAGCTAGAGGTGACCTACTCACCAGCAGTTTGTTGCTCTACCTGTATCCAGGCCAAACTTAGTGACACTGTGCCTGCCCTGCCCTGAACTAGGTCCTGGGCTGGACTAAAAACTTCTTCAGTGTCAGGTTGGTTATACACTAGAATAAATTGCGTAGGGAGGCTGTGGAATCTCTATCACTGGAAACTTTTAAGAGCAGATTAGACAGACACTTGTTAGGGGTGGTTCTTGATCCTTCCATGAGTGCAAGGGGCTGGATATGATGACCTCTTGAGGTTCCTTCCAGTCCTTTGATTCTAGCAAAGTAGCATTTTTGGTCACTATCATATCACTTGGAAGAATCTAAGAACTCAGAGTGCCCAGGACCATTTCCCATCCCTCCTGTCATTGATTCAGTTCTCCTCCAGGCCAAGATATCCATGAGATTACATCTGAAATTAATTCGTAAGGTGGTGTCAGACTTTCGCATTAACTACATGTTCAGGTACCAGTTTTTAACCGCAAATCTCTTTTTAGTAGAGGAGAAATAGTGTGACATTTACTGGATGTGGGTAGGGCTATTAACCTTCTACATCAAAGGATGAAATTGCTTCCGAAGTCATAAACTCTTTGTGTCATTTGTGGGGCAAGTGAAAGGAGAGACCATTTGCTACCAGAAACTGTTGAAATAGATCTCAGTGTGCATCCTACTTTGCTACAAGATGAAAATCTCCCTTGAGGGCATTCTGAGCACAGACTTGATTAGAGCTCAGGCAGCATCAAAAGTGTCCATTAGAGATGTCCCTTTTACTGACATCTGTACAGCAGCAAATTGTAGTTCCATACAGACCTTTGTTAGATACTATCCACTGGTGCAATCAACTGCTTCTGATGGCACTTTTAGGCAGAGCAATTCTGCAATCTGTTGTCATAGGACACCAGCAATCAGATCCTTTAAAGACCCTGCTTTTGAATGAACCCAAAATGCACAACACATAAGACAAATTACTTGAAAAAGAAAGGGTTACTTAAATTGTAATAACTTCAGTTCTTCAGGATGTTTCCCCAGTGTTTAGTGCACTATCTGCACTTAGTCCCTACAGCCTAGTTTCCCCCTACTGAGGACTAGTAGTAGAGAAGAAACTAAGTTTATGGTGATTTGGCAGCCTCCTTTATCCCTTAAATTCAGAATGCAAGGAGAATGGGTGGCATGTGCATATAGCTAAGGCTGACACAGCTAGGGAAAATTCTCAGTCCTGGGTTGCACTTGTGCTCCATGCACCCAGAAATGCACTAGCCAAAGGGCAACACATCTTGAACTGTAGTTACTACATGGTAAGTGACCCGTTTGTATGAAAGGTGTACCATCTCGAAGTCATGAATATGTGGGCCAGTGGGCATTGGTTGACCCTCTGGATTTGAAGGAGAAATATATCTGTTAGACAATTCCCTTCACACTCCATTGTCACTTCTCTATTATTCACATGTGCTTCAGTGTGGTTTAGAGCAGGACTGGGCAATAATTTTTGGTGGGGGCCACTCCAAGATTTTGGAAAGTGATCAAGGGCTGCACACTTGTGTGGAGGAGGTGTGGGATCTAGGATGGAGATTAGGTGCAGAAGGGTGCACAGGGACTGGGGTGCAGGAGACAGTGTGAGGTGTAAAAGGGAGTTTGGGTGAAGGAGGGAATTGTGACCTGGGTTAGGGGATTGGAGTGTAGGGAGAGGGACTGTGGGTGCAGGAGAGGATTCTGGCCAGGGGGAGGGATGTAGGAGAGGCTTTGGGAGGGAGTTGTGACCTGAGGCAGGAGGTGCATAGGGTTTGGACTGTGACCTGGGGGAGGGAGTTGGGGTACATGAGGGGCAGGGGTACCAGACGCAGGCTTTGGCTGGGAGGTACTTACGTAAGCCAGCAGCCAGTACTTACTCCGGGCCAGCAGCCCTGCATCACCCCCAAAGCAGGCTGGGCTCCCAGCCTGCTGCAGCCCCAGACTTCTTGAAAACGCAGGCTGCTATCTCCATGTGACTCTCAGGTCTGGGAGGGGGGGAAAGGCTTGCGCTGCTCCCATCCCCCAGGCTAGTCTCTCAGCTCCTATTGGCTTGTTGTTTGAAGCCAGTAGGAGCTGAGGATTGGGCTGGGGTTTGGGAGATCACTCAAAGCTTCCCGTCCCTCCAGAGTCACACAGAGAAGCCCTGTGTTTAAAACAGTGGCTGCTGCACACCTGAGGATCCTGGCAGGGGAGTCTGCAGGCTGGATCTGGTGGCTTAGCGATCTGTAAGAGGTATCTTGCCCACCCCTGGTTTAGGGTATTCATTTACATCTCCACATATTTCAAGGTTTTTTGATTCTGCAGGAAATGAGACAGCCTGATATGGTCTTGTCTCCTCCTTCACCTCCTCTCCCAGCTGGAAAACAGATGGCATTTTATATGAACTTTTTGGGATAGGGAGCTCATATGGATACCTTCTCAGCACAATACTAAAACATCTAATGCAATTGGGTTAACGTTTCCTGGTGTTCAGAAGATGAATTCAAGCAAAAAGCAAACAAACACACACCTCCTAAAGTGAAGCACAGTAACTGTTATATACTTTAAACAGCAGTGTGACATGAAAAACACACTCTGTTTAGGGAGTCTGTCTCTTTTGAAGTTCTGCTTTCAGTAGGGCCTTATTTAATCTGGATTACTAAGGGCACTTTGAACTTGCTGAGCGGATACAAGTGTTAGTCCTGGGGAATTCTGCGATTTTAATATGGCTCCAAAAGCAACAATTGCATAATTCCCCCAAGACTAAAGTTTCTTCCAGGGGAGTGGTCATCCAAAGCAGAGATACTGCAAGAGATCCTTAAGATATGGTGAATTTCTATTGTGGACCTGTTGGCAATGTTCTCCCATTCCAAATTCTATTTTAAAAAATATATCTGGATATAGAAACACTGGGTAAAGGCATGCTTTTTTATTTTTCCAAGGAATTTTCCTTGGCTTATACATTTCTTCTCTTTATGGTTATATTAATAGTATTATTCTGTATTAATGTAACACTTACAAATCCTAGTCATGGTGCTGTACAACCACAGAACAAAAAACTCTGTCCCAAAGGGCTTACAATCTTAAGACAAGAAACAATAGATGAATACAGACAGACCTATCTAGGTGTACAAGAAAACAGTGGGACTGTATTGGTGTCCTTAAGAGCACTATCATTTTATCACTCCTTTAATCCTAATTTCCCCAGACTGGCTAAGGGAAGGTATGCTTTCTTTTTCCAAGGGGTAAAAATTCTTCTTCCATTACTCTGAAATAAAACCATCAGAGGCCCTTAATGCCTACAGCCCAGGTACAGCAGGGCATTACTGATGGAGTTTGGCCTCTCCAGGTGCCCTGACCATGTTGCACCCATAAAAAAGAAAAAATGAAAGAGATACAATGAGGTGAAGGAAAGTGTCACTTTTTATATGGTTACGGGACAAGATTGTTTTTTTAAATTTAGAAATAGAAGAATCAGAATCCCTGCTTTCTTAGATTTTTTTTTTTTTTTTGCAGAGTATTTTCTTTTGAAGAGTCCTTTACCTTAAGGCTCTGATTTTCAGAATCTTCAGCAGTTTTGCAGAAGTGTTGTACAGTGGTCATTGGTTATAGAGCAACTATATTTAGTCCCTTTAAGATTATTGAAATCTCCCTTCAAGATTTTCTATTCAGTAGGTTTGTGTTTCTGCCTTCTGACATCAGTTCTAGATGATAATCAGATTGTACTTCATATTAGTCCTCCATATTTGTTATTCTCTAGTGACAAGATGATCTTTAACATTCATCTTAGATTTTGACAAAATCTCTGTCGCCCTTTGATCTAACTAGTTACCCTTTTCCAAGTTCCTGGCCTGATCCTAAACTGGGAAGGAAAAGGTCTCCCACACCTTAGATTTCAAAAGGACTTAAGTATGTACTTAAATTAGAAAGATTGAGGTCAATGCATCCTCTCTTCTTCTCATCGAAGGATAAGATCTAGTATCTAAAGGTATACCTACACTGCATGGCTATTTCGGGATACTGAAGTTACCCCGCATCTATACAAGCCACCCGTTATTTTGAAATATTTTTTGAAATAACGGGCACGCTATTTAGCCATCCTGGTAAATCTTGTTGCAGGAAGGTTAAGTGATGGCTCAAAATAGTGCGTTATTTTGAAATTTGGTGCTGTGTAGACATTCCAGATTTCAAAAGAAGCTATTTCAAAATTGATTCGAGATAAGATACGCAATTTGCATAGCGCAAATTGCATATCTTTTTTGAATTTGTGATGCACCCCAAGAGTGGAAATTGTCAGTAATGGCGAGTTTGATCGCTACAATTTTGGTTATAGTTTATTGTAGATTTATTTTAATAATCAGTTTCTTTTTCCTGCAGATAAGCAGCAAAGATGAAGATTTTTTAGACCTTTCTGTAGATGTAGAGCAAAATACATCAATTACTCACTGCTTAAGGTACATGCACAAACAAATGCTTCTACATTTGAGTCTTAACACCTGTCATCATGTTAACTAATAAAAAATTGATCAAGATGAAACTGCAGGAAGTAAAGCAAATATCTCAGGTTAATTTGATAGTCCAATTGTGTATTTTACATGCTTATTGTCCCTGTTTACTTAAAATGACCCTTGTATATTTATGTTGTAAAGTTGTATGATTTTTATTCTGTTTAAAAATTAGTATAAATTTCAATTTCAGGGAGTATTTTTTAATCTTGCATTTTTATTTCTGTTCTATACAGGGGTTTCAGCAATACAGAAACTCTTTGTAGTGAATACAAATATTACTGTGAAGAATGTCGCAGTAAGCAGGAAGCACATAAAAGGTATGGAGTACTTAAAATATTTATTTCCATTTTTGGAATGTATTAGTTTTTACAAAAGTTATTTTTTCCTGTCAGGTTCTGTGGATATTTATCATGAATAACTCTGGAGAAGTGGGTTGTATTTATGAAAGCTCATGATATCATCTACATGTTTTGTTAGTCGTTAGGTGCTAGAATCATAGAATAATAGGACTGGAAGGGATCTCAAGAGGTCATTGAGTCCAGCCCCCCCACCCTCAAGGCAGGACCAAGCTCCGTCTACACCATCCCTGACAGATGTCTATCGAACCTGTTCTTAAATATCTCCAGAGAGGGAGATTCCACCACCTCCCTTGGCAATTTATTCCAATATTTGACCACCCTGACAGTTAGGAATTTTTTCCTAATGTCCAATCTAAACCTCCCCTGCTGCACTTTAAGCCCATTACTCCTTGTCCTGTCCTCAGAAACCAAGAGGAACAAATTTTCTCCTTCCTCCTTGTGACACCCTTTTAGATATTTGAAAACCGCTATCATGTCTCCCCTTAATCTTCTTTTTTCCAAACTAAACAATCCCAGTTCATGAAGCCTGGCTTCATAGGTCAAGTTCTCTAGACCTTGAATCATTCTTGTCGCTCTTCTCTGTACCCTTTCCAATTTCTCCACATCGTTCTTGAAATGTGGCGCCCAGAACTGGACACAGTACTCCAGCTGAGGCCTGACTAGTGCAGAGTAGAGCGGCAGAATGTCTTCACGAGTTTTGCTTACAACACACCTGTTGATACAACCTAGAATCATATTTGCTTTTTTTGCAACAGCATCACTCTGTTGACTCATATTCAACTCGTGGTCCACTATGACCCCTAGATCCCTTTCCGCCATGCTCCTTCCTAGACAGTCGCTTCCCATCTCGTGTGTATGGAACTGATTGTTCCTTCCTAAGTGGAGCACTTTGCATTTCTCTTTATTAAACCTCATCCTGTTTACCTCTGACCATTTCTTTAACTTGCTAAGGTCATTTTGAATTATGTCCCTATCCTCCAAAGAAGTCGCAACCCCACCCAGTTTGGTATCATCTGCAAACTTAATAAGCGTACTCTCTATCCCAATATCTACATCATTGATGAAGATCTTGAACAGTACGAGTCCCAAAACAGACCCTTGAGGAACTCCACTTGTTATCCCTTTCCAGCAGGATTTAGAACCGTTAACAACAACTCTCTGACTAAGGTTATCCAGCCAATTATGCACCCACCTTATCGTGGCCCTATCTAAGTTATATTTGCCTAGTTTATCAATAAGAATATTATGTGAGACCGTATCAAATGCCTTACTAAAGTCTAGGTATATGACATCCACCGCTTCTCCCTTATCCACAAGGCTCGTTATCCTATCAAAAAAGCTATCAGATTAGTTTGGCATGACTTGTTCTTCACAAACCCATGCTGGCTATTCCCTATCACTTTATTACCTTCCAAGTGTTTGCATATGATTTCCTTAATTACCTGCTCCATTATCTTCCCTGGGACAGACGTTAAACTGACCGGTCTGTAGTTTCCTGGGTTGTTCTTATTCCCCTTTTTATAGATGGGCACAATATTTGCCCTTTTCCAGTCTTCTGGAATCTCCCCTGTCTGCCATGATTTTTCAAAAATCATAGCTAAAGGCTCAGATACCTCCTCTATCAGCTCCTTGAGTATCCTGGGATGCATTTCATCATGACCTGGTGACTTTCTGACATCTAACTTTCCTAAGTGATTTTTAACTTGTTCTTTGTGTATCCTATCTTCTAAACTTACCCTCTCTCTGCTTGTATTCACTACGTTAGGCACACCTCCAGACTTCTCGGTGACGACCGAAACAAAGAAGTCATTGAGCATCTCCGCCATTTCCAAGTTTCCTGTTACTGCTTCTCCCTCCTCACTGAGCAGTGGGCCTACCCTGTCCTTGGTCTTCCTCTTGCTTCTAATGTATTTATAAAAGGTCTTCTTGTTTCCCTTTATGCCTGTAGCTAGTTTGATCTCATTTTGTGCCTTTGCCTTTCTAATCTTGCCCCTGCATTCCCGTGTTACTTGCCTATATTCATCCTTTGTTAGTTGTCCTAGTTTCCATTTTTTATGAGACTCCTTTTTTATTTTGAGATCATGCAAGATCTCCTTGTTAAGCCAAGCTGGTCTTTTGCCATATTTTCTATCTTTCCTACACAGCGGAATTGTTTGCTTTTGGGCCCTTAACAACGTCCCTTTGAAATACTTCCAACTCTCCTCAGTTGTTTTTCCCTTCAGTCTTGCTTCCCATGGGACCTTACCTACAAGTTCTCTGAGCTTATCAAAATCTGCCTTCCTGAAATCCATTACCTCAATTGTGCTGGTCTCCCTTCTACCTGTTAGAAGGTGCTGTTAGACTATTTGTTGTTTAAGATTTTCCTGTTAAAGACTAACTCGGCTATCTCTCTGAAGCTTTTACTTAGGTATGCTCACTTACTTTGAGTTCAATGAAAATATTCACATGAGTAACGTTATTTATATGTGAGAGTGTTTTGGTATTGACTCTTGATTATTTTGATTTATTTCAAGGAAAGAATGCATCTTGTTTTTGAGGAACAAAGAAATTGAAAAATGTGTGAAAAATTGACAAAATCAAGCTGTGTGTGTAAAACAGTGAACATCATATTTTTGCATGACTTTTTTAAACTTAATATTATATCTGAAAAATGCATGCAGGTTTATAAAAGATATCAAAAACATAAATGTCATTGCTTAGTAGAGGTATCCCATTCAGAGAATAATTCAGATTAACTGCATTGCTCTTAATATCTGTCATAATTTAAGGATTAATAGCAATAGTTGGCAAACCTATCTTTCTTTGATCGTGTCAGAATTAATCATGTAAAATATCACAATTTTTACTCTCTTCCCTCTTTTCTTATATATTAAAAGTTTGTATATTAAAGTGCTTCCTGACGTAGTCCTTCTAAAAAGCAGCACAAAGTGCTATGGAAAACAGAAATTCATTCTGTTTAGGAAAATGTCTTGCCCTTTGTCTAACATTACAGTACTTTTCTTTCACTTTTAAATACGGTTTTTCATGAAAATGATTTGATTTTTATTAGGGAGACAAGATAATGTCTTTTATTGGACCAACGTACGTTGGTGAAAGAGGCAAGCTTTGGAGCAATACAGCTCTTCAGCGGGTCTGGGAAAGATGTTCAGAATGCTATTAGTTTTTCTTGCACAGGTATTACTTTGCAATGAATTTTGTTAAAAAATAAAATTCCAGTATGTGAAACATAACTCAGCGATTTCAAAAGTCTTAGAGGGGTAGCCGTGTTAGTCTGTAACTGGAAAAACTTAAAAAACAACAAATAGTCTTGCAGCATCTTAGAGACTAACAAAGACTGTAGATAGTAGTATGAGCTTTTGTGGGCACAATCCACTTCTTCAGATGAATGGAGTTTAAGGGGGTCAGTTTTCAAATAGCACAGAGAGGGGCTTGGGGGAGGGAAGAAGAGGAAAAAGAAAGGGGAAAGAAATTGTCACTTAGAGTGTCCATGCTAAATGAAGCTGATAAGAATACTTAATACTTACTCTAAGTACCCTTTGTTTGTATTTTTTATGTCATTTAGGATGTGGAATGTAGCGGGCTATCCAGCCAAGATCATTGTTTATACTTCTGTTGTAGGAATCAAACTTGTAAATGAAATTAAGTTCTGTAGCTTCTCTGTCTAGCTGGCTTTTGAAATTGGTTTGAAATATTACAGTGACTTTTGAGATTCATTAATGAGTGCCCAGGCAAGTTAACTCATCTATATTGGTTCATGTGTGCTATGGAATGCCTAGTACTTCTGAAAGCAACCAATTATTTGTTACTGCACACTATGACACAATTCACAGGGTCAGTCTCAAACAAAATTAATAGTTGCCTTGACTGTGTTCTATTCATACATGTACATCCAATATCACTCAATTACTAATAGGCCACAAAACAGCAGGGCCAGTTAGAACTGAACAAAATGCATTACTGTGGCTCGTTATTACAGTGATCTTGCAATGCCTCCATGAGCTGTATAGTGCAGTAAAGAGTGCATGGGCAGTCACATCTAGTGATCAGACCCAGACTCAGGCCAAGTGGTTAGAGCCAACGGCCAGAACCAAAGACAATGGCCTTGTCTACACTATAAATTAAAGTTGAATCTATTAAGGTAAATTTCTTGTCTCCAGATGTTGCAAAGCCTAAGGCCCATATCCCCCACTGAGCACAAGAATTCAAAGTAGTTTGAAGTAGTTCATCTCTATTATCAATGCACTGTAGATAGCTATTCCACAGTGTGCACCCTTTGCATTCTGTATTACGCTCCCAGTGCATGCTGGCATCAAAACTGTGCCGTGGGTGGTTCTGGGTTCATGTCACCAGCATCCCATAAGGCACTCATCTACTCTCTCCTCTCCTTGCTTGAGATCAGTAGGAAACAGCCTTTTTGTGCCTTTTTTGGCTCTCATTACCCATGCAGATGCCATAGCAGTGCAAACACGGCCTCCCCCTTGGGGATCCCATTTTGCATCAAACCGTTGTGATGTTGATGTTTACTTTGGTGCACCTAATGGTGCAGTATTTCAAGAGCATAAGCATGGCCCGCTATGATGAGGATGAATCTGCTCGATCTTGGAGTACCAAGGGCATGCTATACAGGCAAGCCCTTGCATTGAGCAAATTGGAAACGCAGCCACCAGTTGATCCTCTTGACACAGTAGAACGCCAGTTCTTGTGCCATGAGACAAGTAGAGATTGGTGGGATTACATAGGGTTGCAGGTATGGGATGATCAGCAGTGGCTGCAAAACTTCCAAATTCACAGGCCACTTGCGTGGAACTTTTTGAATGGTTTTATCCCCATCTGAAGTGCAAGGACATCTGAATGAGACACGCGCTGACCATGGTGAAACAGGTGGAAATTTCCCTGTGGAGCTTGCAATGCCAGATAGTTCCAGTCAGTTAGGAATTGATTCTGAGTGGGGAAATCTATAGGGTGTGTGTGGGGGGGGAGGGGTAGCTGTTATACAAGTAGCCAAAGCAATCAGTATGATTCTGCTATGGAGGGTAGTGACTCTAGGAAATGTGGATAACATAGTGGAGGGCCTTGGAGCGAGGAGGTTCCCTAATTGTGGTGGGGTGATAGATGGAATTCACGTCCCCATCTTGGCCCCCAACCACTTTGCTAAGTGGTACTTCTCAATCAACAGGGGATGGTCATGAAAAGTGCATGACGCACACATCTTTAGGAACTCCTGCCTCTTCAGAAAGACGCAGACTGGAATTTTTTTCCCCAGACCAGAAAATTAGAATCAGAGAGGTGGAAATGCCAATAGTGATCCTTGGCAACCCAACCTATTCCTTGCTTGCGTGGCTAGTGGGCAGCTTGGACTGCAATAAGGAGCAGTTCAACTACAGGTTGAGCAAGTAGAGAATGGCGGTTGAACGTGCTTTTGGGCATTTAAAAAGAAGGTTTAGGAATCCACTGTCTAGGTTAGACCTCAGTTAACACAACATTCCTTTTGTGGTGGCAGCCTGTTGTGTGCGCCATAATCTTTGTGAGAGCAAGAGGGAAAGTTATCTGTCAGGGTTGGGGGCCGAGGCAAAGTACCTAGCCAGAGATTTTGTGCAGCTTGACACCAGAGCAATAAGGGGAACAAACACAGAACAGTGCAAATCAGAGAGGCTTTGAAAGAAAGATTTATGAATGTCCAGATTTGAGAATCATGCACGTTGCTCTCAATGAAATGCTTCTGCATTCAATGTGTTTGCCTGTGATTTCCCATCCCACCCCTGTAATACAGTCAATAAAGAGACTGCTGTTCAGAGATCATACATTTTTATTTTGGGAAGTCAGCAGGGACAGAAAAGAAGTCCATAGTGGAACCTGAAGAGGGTGGGGGATCAAAAAATGCAAGGCCTCCTAAGGCCCTAGAGGTTGAGTGTGAGGCTACCCTTGAGTTTCTCTTCTCCTCTTGCCCCCTCCCATCCTGGGGCTCCTGGGGATGGAAGCTATGGAATTGGGTGAGGAGGGAAAGTTGTTCTGCACAGGATGAGATAGGGGTAGGGTTCCTTTTCAGGCTTGCTGCCAGTTGCTCCATCACAGCTGTGAGGGATGAAAAGAAATTCTCCTTTTGCCTCACTCGCAGTACCCTTCATGCTTTCCTGTCCTCTGCTCCACTATCCCCTCCTGCTGTTCCACCCACATCTCCTCCAGAACATATTCCTCCACTCCATTTGCTCCTTAAACATGTCTTCTCTTGTCTGTTTTTGCCTCTGGATTTGTTCAAGCTGGTCAGCTGCTGGAGCCGGAGGAATACACAACAAAGCTGCCTGCTGTTCTTGCTCTAACAAAAATTCACAAGGGGCACATTATAGGAGATACGTTGTGGAGCCTAAATTCTAATCCTTAGCTAAGGTCTCTGTATAGACAATGGAGATGTATTCTGAGCAAGGCCTAAATTATGCTTTAAAGCAACCACTGTACAGCAGGTACTCAACAGAGTTCTCAAGGGAACATCTGGATTCACAGTTTGGAGGCAGGCATGGTAAAGGGCCGGCGAGGTCATGATCCTGAGGGTAAGATAGGGGACGGCGGGGGCAAGGCATGGCTTTTGTGGCTTCCCTCCTTTGTGTTTGCCACACCCCACTTCCCGGAAGAATGATACTTTCCCATCCTGTGGAAACCTGCAGGCAGGAGGGGATGACGAGGTCTTGTCAGGCCAGCAAGGTGGGGGCGGAAGCTTACGTGGCTTTTCTCTTCAGGGTGTGGCAGACACAGCTTTCCAGGCGAGTGCCAGAGGCTGAAGCCATGCTAGCTGCAGCAGCAGAGGCAGCAGCTAAGAGCTTCCCTTCCTCCTTCATCCAGGTCGTCATGTGATATCAGTCTTCTCCAAATCTCACAGAGTGTAGGGAGCTGATGCTGAGTGAATGTGGCCAGAAACCCGGGTCTTATGCTGCAATGCTTAGTGCGGCAATGACACCACACCACTTACTGCTAGCTTGATGTGGGATGGTGTTTTACCACAGAGGACAGAATAAAGCTGGTCTCCCCAGAAACCTTGTGAGAAGGATCAGAGAGTTCTTATCTGAGAGTTTCATGGAGATGTGCAGGAAGGATTCTCACTCCATTTCCAGACACGTTAGAAAGCTGTTCCAGCTCGCCTGCATTGTGCAGGTACAGAGTATGCCACACATCACAACCAATTGCCTTCTCCCACTTGTAGTAAGGAAAAAATTGTGAACTCACCAGAAGTGCCCTCCCTGGGGTCTGTGCCTAACTGAGATGTCCTGGGAAGAGTGGATTGGCTCCAGGAGGATGAAGAGTTCTTGGCTCTTAATGCTCGTTGGCTGGCCATTCTCCTTGTCCTCCTCCTTTTCCCACTCCTCCACACTGCTGACTTGAATGTCTTGGGATAAGACCACAGTCTGTCTTGAGAAGTCAAGCCTCCTTCCCCCCATGATTGCGTAAAGCTGGCTATAGAAGGGGCTTTTATGTGGCAATGCACCAGACCATCTGTTTGCCTCCTTTGTTTTGCAATAGGACTACCTCAGCTCCTTTATTTTTAACTGCACTGCTGAGAGTCCCTGGAATATCCTCTCTGAACCAGGCATGGTGCTATCTTAGTGTAGATATCGGTGTTTCTTTTGCTGTTTTGGAGCTCAGAGAGAATGGATCCCTCTTTGCACGCCTCAGTGAGTTCCAAGATCTCCTGCTCACTCCATGCTGGTGCTCTTTTGTGCCTCTGCGAACTGGGGCCCACAGAACTTGAAGTCATGGCCATGCGTGCTGCTCAAGTGTGCTGCCTGCTCTGAGGTGTGCTCACAATGCAGGCAAACAGGAAGTGAAATTCAAACTTTCCCGGAAATTTTCATGATCACCTGGAGAGCAGTAGAGATGCAAGTTCTTGCCAGAGTGGTCAGAGTGAGGCACTGCGGGATGCCTCCTGGAGGCCAAGAAACTCAACTTTCTCAGTGATGGGTCGAGACTGTTATGAAATCAACCATACAAGGTCAAAATTTGTGGTGTTCCTCATAAAAACAGGAGTATCCGAAATTGACTTCAACAGCCCTTAAAAAAAATAAAAGCCACTTAGTTTAAAATAAAACATTTGGCTCAGCCCTTTTTTAAGGATAATTGTTTTCTAATTGGATTTCCCAGTAGTTCTAAAACAAATTGGCAATTGTGTAAAAATATTTAAAAAAAAAAGGGGGGGGGGGAGTTAAACAGGAAGGATGAGGGGAGGTGTATTTAGATTAACTTCTCAGCTGCATGACCCTTTTACTTACATTATTTGGGGCATAAGGCACAGGGCACATAACCTTTTATTTAGATTATCTTTCAAAAACATTTGCAGTCCTCTTTTAGGTTAACCTCCATGTTCAACTTACTACAGCTATCCATAACTTTGTTTCATTATTTAGGTATTGCAGCATTATGACATGCCGAATAAAAGACTACTGATCGTGTGGTTTTAATAGAGAACATTCAGGAAACTGACAAGCAGAACATCTTTAATATTTGAATGTATTTTAATAGTATTCAAAAGACTTTTTCATTTGTCAGTATCAAACAAATTTTGAAATATTGCAATGGTTTGATATATTTTATTTTGTTTCAGGATGAAAGTAAAAAAACTGCCTATGATTCTAGCTCTTCATCTGAAAAGATTTAAATACATGGACCAGCTACATCGATATACAAAACTGTCTTATAGAGTAGTGTTTCCATTAGAGCTTAGACTTTTTAACACCTCAGGAGACGCAACCAATCCTGACAGAATGTACGACCTTGTTGCTGTGGTAATTCATTGTGGGAGGTAATAAGAAATTTGTCACATTGAGGTTGTTAAATGAAATTATTAACAGTATGATAGAAATTTAGTATAAATTAAGTGAACTCTAAAGTGTTTTAAGAAATTATGTAGGACAGAAGGGAACATTGCAAAATGGATTTGTTTTGTTAACTAAGAACTTACTTAAAAGATAATGTTCGATTTTAACAGAATTTTCCCTCTATCAGTTTTTTATCTTTTTAAAAATGGTCTTTATGTGGTCTTTTCTCCCTGCTTCTAAAGCTGTCAGGATCATAGTGTTAGGGGAGTTGATGGAATTTTCAGCAGTATATTCTATTCTTAAAGTTTGTGCACTTGTGTTCTAATTTTACTTTTCAGGCATATGAATCCCAAATGCTTGGGCAGGCAGGCAATCTGATCTGCCAAATGACCAGATTTGTCCCACCACCATCTTACGGCCCATTGTGAGCCTCTGGCTGAGTCCCTACCTGCTACACTCCACATGTCACTCAAAGCAGCCTGTTGTGGGAGCCATGTGCATCTCTGCGCTGCAGGCCCTTGGGAGGGGTCTTTGCATGCTATCCCTGCCTTCAGCATGATCTTGCAGCTCCAACTGGCTGAAAACCAGCCAATGGGAGCTGTCTGGGCCATGTTTGTGGCACAGGCAGCTCATGGAGATTTTCCCCCCCTTGAGGGGTGTGCAGCATGCAGAGATGCACATGGCCCCTACAGCTGGCCATTTTGAGTGGCGTTTGGGGGTGTGGCAGGCAGTGAGGCTGCCCAAGAGTTCTGCTGAGCTGCCAATTGGAAGCAGCCTAAGTTGTCAACATCTCCCATCCAGAGACTGTGCCTAGTACCCCATCCCTTCCTGCATCCCAACTCCTTCTCCCAGATCACAACCCAACTCTCTTCATCCCTGTTCCTGCACCCATACCTCCTATGCTATCATGGAAGAGCATAGCTCTTGACTACTTACCAATTTCTTGGAGTGACTCCCCCCCAATAAAAATTATTGCCCCCTCCTGCCCAAATGGAACACTGATCATACATCTACTGTAAGCTCGCCTCCTCTGGTTGAAGATTGGGGTGCCATTTTTCAGTAAAGGCAGTGATTTAATCTGCTCATGTGGTGGGTAATCTGCAGGGTTCTATGTGTAACCCACACACCTACTGGGTGTGGTTCACTGTCTCATATACTGTCATTTAGACCACTTAGAAAGATAAAAAACGAGTGAGCTCTACAGCCTTAGCTGAGAGCCAGCTGGTTTTATAGCTCAAGCTGTAGAGGATCACACACTAAGCTCCAGAGGTCCCAGGTCCAGTTATTCCTGTCGGCTTTACATATGTGTCGCTTCATGCAGGTTCTATATGTGACCTGCACCTTGTATACTATTGCGAATACACAGGGTTGCCATATTCCACTGGTTTCCTTCCATGTAGTTTTTTTCTACTGGTATTACTAAAGTGATTCTCATATATGGGTGGAGAGTGAAGCTGCTGCTTGGGGTGCAAGCTCCTTTGCCTGTAGCTCCAGTCATACCTCAACCCTGCTCGGCCCAGGCCCTGTCCCCACACTGCCCAGGCGTTGTCCTCTCCCCACTGTCTCCTTTTTCTCTTCAGGTATGTCTGCACTACAGCGTTATTTTGAAATAACGTGTCTATGCACAAAATGCATTTTGAAGTAGCGTTTTTCTATTTCGAAATAGCGTGTCCACACTGAGTGTACAGTGAATTGCATTTAAGGCTGGATGGAACCAGTTCCGGCAGGGCATCAGGTCAGAATTTGCCTTGTGGCCAGGGCGGCCAGCAGGGCACCCTGGGAAGGGCTGGAGGTTCCCTATTTCGAAATAAGCGTCTACCCAGCGCTTATTTCAAAATAGCAATTTCAAAACTGGCACTATTCCTTGTGGAATGAGGTTTACCAATTTTGAAATAAGACCTCTGCTATTTCGAATTAATTTAGAAATAACGGAATGGCTGTGTAGATGCTAGGAAAGTTATTTTGAAATAACTTTGCTGTGTAGACATACCCTTCCCTCCCAGTCTTTGCTCACCCCTTCCAGCCAAATCCCTGAACCCAAATATAGCAAATGATATTTGAAAAAAACCACTCTTCTAAAATTTATTTCTAAAGAAAATGGAGCATGTTTTCAAGTATCTAGAAAGGTATTACAAGGAAGAGGGTGAAAAATTTTCCTTGGCCTCTGAGGATAGGACAAGAAGCAGTGGGCTTAAATTATAGCAAGGGAGTTTTAGGAAAAGCTTCTTAACTGTCTGGGTGGTTAAACACTGGAATAAGTTGCCTAGGGAGGTTGTGGAATCTCCATCTCTGAAGATATTTAAGAGCAGATTGTATAGACATCTATCAGGGATGATCTAGACAGTGCTTGGTCCTGCCATGAGAGCAGGGGACTGGACTCAATGACATCTTGAGGTCTCTTCCAGTTCTAGTATTGTATGATTCTATGAACTATATGCCAAATTGTGAAGACTGGGCATGAAGAAGGTACTTAAAAGCACTAAACTTGGGAATAAAAAATGTCGGTTGCAATTTTTTGAATAAACCCTGAACTTTGTAGTAAGTACATGATGCAGCCCTTCTCTGTTTTACATTTCCTTCATCAGTTTTCCTAAGCGGATTTTCTATTTTAAATGTACTCTTAAGCTTTCATAAAGTAATCATTCCAGATTACTACATATTTAAACTCACTGAAGCAAATACATTATTTTAAATTAAGTCAGAGTGGTACATAACTAAGTTCATGGCTTTTAGAAAAAGCAAACACTAATTTATTTAGTGTGATTTTTTTTCATAATGAGACATGTTTATGACATTTCAATATATGTTTGTTAAAATATATGTTGCCAAAAATTTTAGGCATAACAGAGGATTTTATATCTTAGTAAGGTACTGATTTTGGTGGAGGGGGTTTCTCTAGCTCATCAAATAATCAAAAATAAAAGGGAAACTTATTTGTCCTGCTGTTTGGAAGAAAAGTAATGTCCCTTTAAGGGATTTGTTCAACAGGGGCGGGGGGCGGGGATGAAAGGAAAGTAGGGATGGATAGAAAGGACAGAAATATTTTGAAAGAAAGTTTAGTAATTATCTAAAATATGCATTTTAAGTTTAAGGTTGTCTTTTGAAGAATTTATTACGAAAACAATCTGTCCAAATATCTAAACATTTAAAACTAAAGTTGAATACTCGGTGCATTAAATATGTATGCAAGGATTTTTTTTTTTAGAGATGTGATTTCATAATCTTCAGAAACAAACTACAATTTGCTTTAAATATGTCATTAAACTAAGGCCCTGATAGACTGATGCACAACAGTTTTTTCAGTAAATTCTGGATTAGCACATGCCTGTTAAATGGTTTCATTACACTTAATGGCTGTTTCACAGCTTCAATGTTACAGTAATAGGTCTGGCAAACTAGAAGAGTTTTCACTTTTAAGGTAACAGATCCACTTCAGGGGTAGAGTCACTAGTCTGCAGGCAATAACAGCCTGCTGTGGGAGCCTTCAGAAACAGTCAAAATAGGATAGGAAGAGGGGAGTGGTTGAGCACTAAAACTCAGGGAAGGCATTGCCTCCCCTTATCTCTTATGCCAGTTGCCCATAAAGCAAAGACATGTAAAATGATGTGCTCTCAGTGCTTACTGTGAGAGCCTTGTGCTCCCTCTGCATTTAATCAGCGTGCTGCTGTGGTTCAGTTGGCACACTCCACAAATTCTAGGTATACAAGTGCAGTTGGGAAAACTATCTTATCCCAAGAGACCATCTTTGTTAATGTCAATCTTGTGGCCCACTAAGATGGAGGGCTACTCATGTGGCGTGCTCACTAGCCTCTGTTGCCCGTGGTTGGGTTAAAGGGACCTCCCAGTTTCCAACTGGCTCTGAGGGAATATGCTGTTGTTTTTTTCTGAGAGAATAATATAACAAAATCCTGAGTGGACTTTTTATCTACAAACATTAACTCAGTGACCTCTAGATGTCCTCTTCCCCAGAGCTTTCATCTTGTGGGTCAATATAATTTACAGATGATTTGCAATAGACAAATGAGAGAGGAGACAGAGAATTCATAGTACAAATTCAATTCCAAGCCTGACTGATTCAGATGCAAGACATTTTTTAAGTCTTCAGCTGTTTCTGCTCAGGAAGTAAAGATTTTTTTGTTTTGTTTCTGCCATAATCAACAAAGTATTACACAATGAATCTGTTGTCGGTGCCCTGCATTTTACTATATAGTCTAGTTGTTGATCTAAGGAGTTTTCATATTGCTTTGTAGAGAAAATTACTCCGAGTTAGCTAAACTGTCTGTATTCACAGCAATTTCTTGAAAGAATAGGCACACACAATCATCTTTGCTTGAATTTCCATGTGCCTATTTGCGGTCCTGGTTGTGCGAGGGTGCTTCAGATTACAAAGTTAACCTCCATCCATCTGGCTGGTCAAGGCCATGATTATTTAAGTACCTTCTGTTGCCTTACATAAAATTTGGGACATCATTATACATGACAGGTCAACAATACTGGTGGAACTTCTCTTTTAAGTCCCACTGTTGTCATGAGTTTTGAGAATATTCAAAGTTTCATTTTTATATGAAATTTTTTGGTATTGCTCTTACCCAGAGTCCAATTTGGTTTGGAAAGTTTGATTTTTTTTTTTCCTATTCAACTATTTTGTAAAATAATAAATGTTGTATATTTTTATCCCTAATTCTGTCAATAAATCCTTAGCATGAAAAAGTCTCTCTCATTTGTCTTTTCACTGTTTGTCCTACTTATTCCTCATGCTCTGTTTAGTACAATATTTGGTGTTATGATGACTAATGCCTTCATTTCATGTAAACGACCTTGGTAAGAAAAAGGGGAATTAATATACAAATAGAAATATAAACAATCTGCTTAAGTTTTACTAAGTGTTTATTCTTGTGAAAAAACAGCTCTTTAAAGAAATGGACATGCATAATGTTAATGTTTCTTTTTTTTAAAATACAGTGGCCCTAATCGAGGACATTATATTGCAATAGTGAAGAGTCATGATTTTTGGTTGCTCTTTGATGATGATATTGTAGAGGTAAGTATTGTAACATTAGCATTTTACTCTTTCTAAATAAATGTCTTCCCCCACGCTAACATCCCATTGATGATCATTTAAATATTAAAAGGAATTGTGTTCTGATCTTTTGAAAATAAGAAATATCTTCAGATAAACTTTCTTTCTCTCCTAAACTAGACAGGCTCACTCCTTGTTCTTTGAGTACAGTCATGTTTAGATATTTAGTGGGGGAGGAAAAAGTAGTGCTGTTTGTTGAAAATGTATATATTTTTGGTTCACTTTTCAGAGTAATTGCTTTTTTCCAAAATAAAAATCTGATCTAGGGAAACTGCTAATAGTCCTAGACTAGATAGAGGTAACTATCTGAAAGAGTTGCTAAGTTTTTGTTCCTATCCTCCGTGGCAGTCTCCTCTGCAATATCTCTCAACCTCACAGGTAGATTAGACTCATCTGGCAAAGTAGTTTTTGCCCATGAAAGCTTATACCTAAATAAATCTTATGGGATATGTCTACACAGCAGAGTTAAAGTCGAATTAAGCAGCGCAACTTTAGACCCATCTATTGCGTAGCTTAGGTCGAAATAACTTAATCGGCTTTTGAGCTGTCTGTGCTACAGGAAGTCGAAGGAAGAACACTTTCTTTGACGTCTCTTACTCTGACTTCTGGTAACCCTCATTTTATGAGGAGTAAGAAGTCCTTCAGCTCAACATTATTTTGAAATAAAGGCTTGTATTGTATACGCACACTACGTTATTCTAGAATAACGTATCTGTGTAGAGGTACCCTCCACAGGACTCCTCATTGTCTTTTTAGGTAATTAGACTTTCAGAGAAATACCTGAGAATCTGCAATTTTGAATCAAGCATGATTAATGACAGATCTCTTTTGCTGCTTTTGTCACCTATGACATTCACTGTGCCCTGGCAGGGATAAAAAACTATTAAAAAAAACCACTCTTCCTGTATGGGAAATGCAAGGGTCCAAGTAGAGGTCACATAACATTGAAAAGTGGGGTCATAAATCCTCCACAGTGAATCTGCTTCACTAATTGTGCGAAGAGGCCAGATGGGACAGCTAATCCTTCTATTATTTCTTTTCCTTCGCTCCCATCACCATTTGATCTAAACTTGGAATTATTAGGGTCTGCTTTTCCTAGTTTTCTTTAAGGAGACTAAAATATCCCACTATCTTCTCTAATCCCTATCTTGATATATGATAGAGATCATGGATTTTTCTTCATTGGAAGCTTTTGGGAGAGGGTACTTTTGAAAGATGCCGGTGTTCCCTTTCCTAACCCTGTGTAGAAACAGCTTGTGAAACTTTTTGGTTCATCTTTTGTTTATACGATCATGTCACAAAAGGACACTCTCTAGTTCATAAAAAGAAACAGTCTTGTACCAGATCATAATTTTTTTTCCCCACAAGACTTTAATACTCTATTGTAAGTGGAATCTTCAGTTTACTGTGGAATGATTCTTGGAATCAAAGTGCTCACAGAAGGAGATGTTACGACATAAGTGAATCCTTCTGTTTCCTCTTGAGCGAGGAAAGTGAGGGAAATTGAATCATGGAAGAAGCCAGATTCTGAAACTGCACTCTCAAAAGCGATGCTATGTCCAGTACAATACACTAATTCTGCTAGACAGCACATTCATAGAATCGTAGAATACTAGAACTAGAAGGGACCTCGACAGGTCAAGTCCAGTCCCCTGCACTCACAGCAAGACCAATCACCATCTCATCCCTGATATTTATCTAACCTGCTCTTGAATATCTCCAGTAATGGAGATTCAGAATCCTCCCTAAGCAACTTATTCCAGTGCTTAACCACCCTGACAGGGAAGTTTTCCCAAATGCCATCTCTAAACTTCCCTTTCTTAAATTGAAGCCCATTGTTTTTTTGTCCTATCATCAGAGGTTAAGGAGAATAATTTTTCTCCCTCCTCATAACACCCTTTTAGGTACCTGAAAGCTGTTATGCCCCTTCTCAGTCTTCTCTTTTCCAAGCTAAACAAACCACATTCTTTCAGTTTTCCTTCATAGGTCATGTTTTCTATGGAACCCCACTTGTTATGCCCTTCCAGCATGACTGTGAACAGTGAAAAGATTTACTACAGTCTAGGTATACCATGTCAGCTGCTTCCTTCTTATCTATGAAGTTTGTTATCCTAGCAAAGGAAGTTCTCAAGTTGGTTTGACATGATTTATTCTATACAAATCCATGTTGTTACTTATCACCAGTGTTCCTTCTAACATTTTCTATCCTTGGGTGGGTCGAATTTTCTTATGTGCACCACCAATACAAACAAAACCACACACACACCATATATACATATATTTTAAGCAGTGCATGAGTGTGGAATAAAATATATTAAAATTCTAGTTTCTGTGAGGTATCCTTAGGGCACATCTAGACTACGTTTAAATTTTGAAAGAGAATATGCAAATTCCTATGGAATTTGCATATCTTCTTCTGATTGTTTTTTTCGAAAGCGTGTCTTTCAAAAGTGAAAGTAATCTGGACGTGGGGGGGAGGGGATGTTTCAGGACCCCCCTTTTTCCCCAAAAAAACACTCTTCCTAAAAAAAGGAATTCTAGGAGGTTTTTCAAATACCTCACACTAAAATCTCAAGGCTTGTCTAATGCGTCCATTAAGATTCACCTCATGGCCATATCAAATGAGCATGATAAGATGGATGGACAAACTCTGTTCTCTCATCCAGCCACTAAGAAATTTATGAAAGGTCTTGAGAATACCTTCCCTCCAATAAAGCCAGTAGTTCTGATTTGGGATCTCAACTTAGTCTTGAATACATTAACTCATCTTCCACTTGGATCCATGGCAACTTGCACATAAGTCCACCTTTCCGTGAAGATAGCATTTTTAATAGCAGTTATGACATCCAAAAGGGTCAGCGAGCTACCCACCCTCATGGCCAATCCACTGTTTATGATATTTGACAAAGACAAGCTCATACTCAGACCACATCCAAAATTTCTTCCAAAGACAGTCTCATGGTTTCATCTCACTGAGTCTATATACTTACCAGTCTTCCATCAGAAGCCTCATTCGGATGCCACCACGGCAAGGCTCTGCTCATTGGATGTCAGGTGGGCCATTGCATTTTACTTAGAGCAAGACAATTTAGACAATCACACAAGTTGTTTATGTCAATAGCAGACAGCTCTAAATGACAAACGGTATCCAAACAAATGCTTTCCAAGTGGATCATGAACTGCATTCGCGAATGCTATGCCATCAGCAAAGTCGCATTACCAACACTTATATGGGCACATTCCACGAGAGCTATGACCACATCAATGGTCTTCTTGCATAATGTGCCCATATGCAGGGCAGAAAAAATTTAAGCCTATTGCTTCTTTTCTTATCCTCAGAAGCCAAAGAGAACAACTTTTCTCCCTCCTCCTTGTAACACCCTTTTAGATACTTGAAAACTGCTATATGTCCCTTTTGAGGCTATGTCTACATGACAAAATTCGGAAAAAGATACGCAAATTGCAGGCCACAATTTGCATATCTTTTTCCGCTTTTCTTCCGAAAGAGACTTTTCTGATATTTGGCCCGTCTACATGGGGCCAAATGTTGAAAAAACACCGTTTCAGAAAATCCTTTCTTCCTCATGAAACGAGGTTTACAGGGATGCCAACAAAATGCATCTGCTTTTCTGACATTTTTTTCCCGAAAAAATCGATGCCAAAGTATCCCGGAAAAGCTCCGTGGTCTAGACATACCCTCAGTCTTCTCTTTTCTAAACCAAACTAACCCAATTATTTTAGTCTTCCCTCATAGTTCATATTGGTAGCTCATAATTTTTTAAGGAGGAAGTTGATCTTTTCTCCTCTTACGGCTCCTGTTTTCTAGACCTTTATTAATTTTTGTTTCTCTTCTGTGGACCTTCTCCAATTTCTCCACATCTTTCTTGATATGTGGTGCCCAGAACTGGACACAGTACTCCAACTGCTTCAGTTAGTCTATAAGGTGCCACAGGACTCCTCGCCGCTTTTGCAGATTCAGACTAACACGGCTACCCCTCTGATCCAATACTCCAACTGAAGCCTAATCAGCACAGAGTAGAGTGGAAAAATCACTTGTTGTCTTGCTTACAACACTCCTCTTAATGCATCCCAGAATCATGTTTGCTTTTTTTGCAACAGTGTCACACTGACTTATATATAACTTGTGGTCCACTATGACCCCTAGATCCCTTTCTGCAGTACTCCTTCCTAGACCGTCACTTCCCATCCTGTAAGCAACTGGACACAGTACTCCAACTGCTTCAGTTAGTCTATAAGGTGCCACAGGACTCCTCGCCGCTTTTGCAGATTCAGACTAACACGGCTACCCCTCTGATCCAATACTCCAACTGAAGCCTAATCAGCACAGAGTAGAGTGGAAAAATCACTTGTTGTCTTGCTTACAACACTCCTCTTAATGCATCCCAGAATCATGTTTGCTTTTTTTGCAACAGTGTCACACTGACTTATATATAACTTGTGGTCCACTATGACCCCTAGATCCCTTTCTGCAGTACTCCTTCCTAGACCGTCACTTCCCATCCTGTAAGCGTGAAATTGATTATTCCTTCCTAAGTGGAGTATTTTGCATTTGTCCTTATTAAACTTTATTCTGCTTACCTTAGATCATTTCTTTAGTTTGTCCAGATCATTTTGAATTATGAGCTATCCTCCAAGGCACTTGCATCCCCTCCCAGCTTGGTATCATCTGTAAACTTAAGAAGAGTGCTCTCTATGCCCGTGGTCACCAACCCATCAATTGTGATCGACTGGTCAATTGCAAGGGCTCGACCAGTCGATCGCAAGGTGTTCGGGGCCCCACCCCCAAGAAGCCCCGCTGCCTACCTCCAGTGACAATGGAGGTAGTGCTGGCTTTCTGTGGGTGGACGGAAGTCTTGCAGCTGCATGCCACTTCTGGGGGTTCCGGAAGTGCGCTGGCTGCTCCCCTTCCCCAGGTCTCTGGCATGCCGGGAACTTGCGGAGGGAAGTCCCCAGAACTAAGTGGAGTATTTTGCATTTGTCCTTATTAAACTTTATTCTGCTTACCTTAGATCATTTCTTTAGTTTGTCCAGATCATTTTGAATTATGAGCTATCCTCCAAGGCACTTGCATCCCCTCCCAGCTTGGTATCATCTGTAAACTTAAGAAGAGTGCTCTCTATGCCCGTGGTCACCAACCCATCAATTGTGATCGACTGGTCAATTGCAAGGGCTCGACCAGTCGATCGCAAGGTGTTCGGGGCCCCACCCCCAAGAAGCCCCGCTGCCTACCTCCAGTGACAATGGAGGTAGTGCTGGCTTTCTGTGGGTGGACGGAAGTCTTGCAGCTGCATGCCACTTCTGGGGGTTCCGGAAGTGCGCTGGCTGCTCCCCTTCCCCAGGTCTCTGGCATGCCGGGAACTTGCGGAGGGAAGTCCCCAGAAGAGGTGCACGCCGGGGCTTCCCTCCTCTGCAGGGGGAGAGAGGGGAGGAGTCCTGGGAGGAGGCGGGTGTGAGGGACTCCCAGCCCTCAGCAATACCTTGTTCCTACTGTCACCCTGTCCTCTGCTGCAGAACCCTGTCCCTCACTGGCACCCTGCCCCCACCCCGGCACCCTGTCCCTTGCCCCCACTGGCACCTTTCCCCAGTACCCTGTCCCCTGCTCCCACCAGCACAGTTGGGGCTACATTAGTGAGGCTTAGGGGGTTAGGAGAAGTTATTTTTTTGCATCTCACTTGTGTGGCCCCAACTGACTTTTCTGTTGGTCAGTGACCCTGGACTCAAAACAGGTTTCCTGCCTCTCTCATAAATAAAGACAATGCTAAAACCTTTTGAGTTTGACATAATATTTTATTTAAAAACGAAGCCTGGCCAAAATGCCCCCAATTGAGGCCAAATCCCCATCTCACTGCAGCATCACAACACGCCTGCACCACCTGAACCCAAATCTGAGCCTATCGTACGCTGGAACCCCCTATCCTGAGCCTTTTACATTCCCAAACTCCTGTACCCCCACATCCTCAGTCTTCTGCCACAACACTCCTGCACCATCCACACATGGCAAATGTGTGTCCTGAGCCCATCATACTCACCGCCTCCTTGCCCATAGCCCCTCACATATCCAACCCAAACTCCTGCACTCCCACATCCACAAGCCTGTGACTTGCTCGGCACCCCAACCTTCCACCTGAGCCCAACACCCTTTCTCCAGCATCCCTTTCTCCTGCATCCAAATTCTCTCCCAGAACTTGCACTTCTCACTCCTTCCCACACCCAAATCTCTCATTTCCATCCCAGAGCCCACACCTACTGTCTCAACCCAGTGTATAAGGGCTGGGGATAGCAAGTGGTGGAGAGGAGGGGAACAGAGAGGATGGGACCTTAAAGGGGTGGGGTGTTGGGGAAGGAATGTGATTTTCATGCATTGGTGGGTTCCCCTCTTTTTGCTTGACAAACCTAGGGGGTTCCTTGAAATTCTGTAATGGGTTCCATGGCCAAATAAAATTGGGAAACACTCATGTAGTTCATGCTGAGTTTTGGCCTCTCTTCAAAAAAGATCTTGGTATTACCGTTATAAATCACCTTTCTGTGTGGGAGGACCTATCAAATAATGTTTATAAAATTCTATTCATGGTTAGTCCATTTATTAGTATTAGATGTTCAAGATACTTTAACTAGACAGAACTTGAGCAGCTGTGGAGGAAAGAATATTTGGGGAGAAAAATTAACCGCCCTTTTAACCTTTGTATAACCTAGGCTATCTGGAAAAAGGTATTTAATAGATGAGACCAATTTTTTTTCCTGTTTCACAAAGTGGAACTTAACAGAATATACTTTTGTCATAGTAGACTTTTCTCCTTTAAAAATTAGTGTTTGTATTTTGTTTTCTGTAGAAAATAGATGCACAAGCTATTGAAGAATTCTATGGGTTGACATCGGACATCTCAAAAAACTCTGAGTCTGGTTATATCCTCTTCTATCAGTCTCGGGATTGAATGGGAACTGTGATGCCTCGTTTCTTCTCTGGCTGTGTTGGACTGGAGCAAGCACTGATATTAAAAAAGGAATGCAGGGAGTTCCAAGGACAGTCGCGCAGTTTGCACATTACAAAGCAAAGTTTTGGATATTTTTAAACCCCTTCACATCAAGCTCATTTTGTTTGCTCAGGTATCCTTCTGATCGCACACCTCAACCACAACTACTAGGTGAAAAGAGAGATACCAGCCACTCTTGCAGGAGCAGCCTTCCAACAGCTAAACACATTTTCTCTCTTTAAAGTCCTGAGTCGAAGCCCCTGAAAATCAGTGGAAAGAATCATTGACTTCATTGGGCTTTGGATCACAGCCTAATTGCAACAATCTGGAAGTGCAATAGAAGCAATACAAATCTGGTATTTTATTCTGATTTCTTATTTGAAAATACAGAGGATTCTTTGTGCATTATTAATTTGTTTGTGTTCAATTCTGAAAGACTATCTAAAATCTAGGCAGGTTTTTTGTTTGTTTTTTTTTTCCCCTGGGTTCTTTCATGTATAAACAAGAAATATACTTGGGGCCAAAACAGTTGCCTTCTTGACCATATCAGATTAACTGAAAATATAAACTGTCAGGGAGGCCAAGTGCATTTTGCTTCTCTGAAGAAGCTTATGTTATAGTATAGTAATATATACATATACTGTTGGGAACAATCAGTAAAAAATCATGGCTTTTAATCTTCCTATGGAGAAAGATTGGATTTTTAATAATAGTTTATTTTTATTTATAAATCAGTGAAACTGCTCGGGACCTATGTATTGTCTTTGAGTGTAACAAATATTGAACATAATTTTCTATATTACTTCAAGTTAGATTTACTTACTCTATTTAATTTTTTTTTAAGGAAAGACAAATTCTAAATAAAATGCATAAAATGCCTTTTAAAATATTGGTAATCTAGAAGGGATAATTTCTCTTTTTAAGGAGGAACTGGTATCTGGCTAAATGTTTTACATTGTTTAATTATTAAATTAAAACATTAATTTTTTTAGACTCTGAAAAAATCAAGTTGTGAAATGTTTTTTATAGGTGTCTGAATAATGATTGTAAGAATGCTTATTATAATGAAATGCTAGCGCAGTGGTGGTGACCCCAATCTTTACTATTCTTTACTCGTTAAGGGTGCATATTCAAAATAATTTGTTAGAAAAACCTGGATCAGTGTAAGCCTTTTTAAGGACATCAGTCCCTCTTCAAGAAATTGATCCATTTAGACTCCCAACAGGTTGGGAGACTTTCAAAAATCCCTCTACATACAAAATGTTACTGATAATAAATGAAGTACTCTAGGAATATAAAAGGAGTTCAGTGTTTTGAAATGTTGCAAGTACTATGAGGTGAAATTTTCTGAAATTAAATGGTTTACCTTGATTTGAGGTTATGAAACAGCATTAAGATTTAAAACATAGCACCACCCATAATAGATGTAATAAGAAAAATGTATAATGTTGTGATATGACACTTCTCCATGCATCAGTTTGTTGTCAGTTAATGACCGAATGTAATTTCTGAAAATGATGGAATACATATTTCAGATTATGGCTATCAGATCTTGGAAATCCTTGTCATCCCATATCGGATAGTGATTTGTACTTTACGGTAATTTTCTAAGGTTATTTTATTGGTGCCATTGAAACCTTTTAAAAGAATGTCTCCTGTCTGCTGCTATAATTAATATATTTACTTACCTGTATTTTTGAGCTCAGGAAATGACTTCACCTATACATTCAGTTGAACAAATCTTGAACAGGGTCACTAAGTAAATTGGGCTATTTAACAAATATGAAGAAAATTCTTTTAATATTACAACAGATTGCTTTTATAAATACAAAGTTTCTGAAGCCTTGTCTTGACTCCAATTCTTTTATATAAATTCTATAGCTTGGCTAAACTACCAGCATTGCAAAATAAAGCATATAAAATATTGTGGAAGAGACATAAAAATAATGGATTGGTTATTTTTAAGGGCTTATACCAAATTAATTTAGAACCTAAAGCTGTTTTTCCAGCTTTCAGTGGGAAAAGACTGAGGGGTGAATCAGTTGGACCACTGTACATGCCAGAAAGATGAAGTCTCTTACATTAAAAGGACAGCATTGTAAAACCACTGTCACATTATCTTTTGTTAACTGATAAATGTTTGTTCAGTCATTTTACAGGTTTAAAAATATGTAGTTAAAAGCCAAGCTTAGTTGCTAAATACATTTTATACAGTAACACAATTTAAAGCATTTTTGTTTCACTGGTAGCCACAGGATATTTTGTTTTATTTCTGCAACATATTTTTATAAAAGGGTGACTTATTTTGGATAGGATTTTTAGGATAGTGGTTCCAAATGATGCATTTAATTTCACTTCTAGTGCAGCTGAAAATGTACTAAATTCTTGATAAAACTGATACCAGAAATTACAGCTAACTTAAAAAAAAAGACAGAGGAAGGTACAAAGTGTAACTGACCAATATAAAAAGCATTATAAGATTATCTCTTGATTGTAATTGCAATGGAGAATGTGGGGAAAAATCTTCTCTTGTAAATGGTAGAAATGATTTCTGTGTAACTCTGTAAATGTTAATTGGGATGACATGTCCCCTATTTTGTATATTGGAGCACAAAGTCTATTAAATAATAAAATATGTTCTCTGAAGGTAAGTACAGTATTCTTTGTATATTCCTGTTGTTGTCACATAGCATCTGGTGGTTTTTTTTTTTTTTTTAAATGTTCTCAAAACTTGTAAATATGTCCTGCTTGTAACAGTTTCCTGCATAAAGGCAGCAGCCATAAGCCATAGAGTAGGGAGTAAGGTATTTACACTACATCACATGCCCACTCACCATTAGTTAGCTTTTTTTCTTCAAGGCAATATTAAAGATCTTACTGTTAGGTCCTTTAACAACCATGACAATATTTTAATATTACATCTGCTAATGTTAGCATATTTTTGTTTGTGTAATTCAGTTGTAGAAAATTTGTTTTATTGTTTTATTGATATTACAGCAGAACTGATTCAGGTATTTTTCTGAGGTAGAGAAAACTTGTTTGAATTAATCAGTACCCTCAGAAGTCGCCTCAAATCTGTGAACAGAATTTTTGTAAATTGATGTTCCACAGTTGATTAGTCTGCCTGGAAGGTAATCATAATATCTTGGAAAAGATCTGTTATAGGAAGTTGTTGAGCTTTTGACACTGGGATAGTAAGTGTAACCTTGTTAATAGGGTTTGTTTATGCTGAAAAATTAACTTGTTAGAGCATGTGTTTAACATGTTTTACTCAGTACTGGCTGTCATTCTAGAGAACCCTAAGATTAACTTTGTGTAGCTGACATTATTAAAATGTCTGTGTCTACATGGAATGTTACGTTAGCATGTTCCTACTGCAGTGTAAAACTAAAATAAGCCTGTGAATGGCCAGTGCAGAACAAAACTACCTCCTGAATCATTATACTTATGTTGCTGAGTTCATCAGAATACTCGAGAAAATCTGCAGAAATGTGGTATCTCATTGTCCACTGAGAATCTAACTGATGAACCAGTTTGATGTAGGATACAGATTTGAGTTATACAAGAGGCTTAAGTAGCTTGTAGGGCAATGGTCATCAACTAGTAGGTCAGGATCTACTAGTAGATCTTGGAGCATCTGACAGGGTGATCCTGACTGGTTTGGCCAGGAAGCTATCAAGTGCTGGCACTTCAGTTGGCCCTCCACTCACTGTCATGCTGCTCCTGCCCTCTGCCTAGGAGCTGCCCCCCTGGGAGCCTCCTGGTTGCTGTGGGAGGGAGAAGAGGGGGGTGCTGATGTCAGGGTGTCCACTTCTGTACACCATCTCTAAACAGAGAGAAGGGGATGGAGGGAGCTTGACAATGCAAATTTTGGTCACTTTCACACACTACGTCTGTCTGTCATTCTCACAAACATACACTGTCCTTCACACTCATCTCCCAACCCACCACATATGTATGTAGGGGGTGGTTGTTACTACTTTTACTGCTTGCAAAGTGGGTTATTTTGGGGTTTGGACTGGTCTGTCCATTTCTTAATTTTCATTTCTCTCTTATGCTGTCCCAGCCCTGAACCTCCTCTTACATCGAACCTCCTGCCCCAGATGTGAGTCCTCCTGCACCCAAACTCCTTCCTACAGCTTGCGCCTGGAAACCCCTCCTGGACCCCAGTCCCCTGTCCTGGGCCTAACCCAGAGCCCTCCCACACTCCAAACTGATTGGCCCAAGACCAGAGCCTACATCCCCATTTCCTACCCTAGCCTGGTGAAAGTAAGTGAGGATGGAGGAAGAAGAGGGAGTGAGCAGGGTGAAGCTGCAGGGGAGCATGGGTAGAGCCTCAAAGGAGGGGTCAGGAAGGAAGTGGGGCAGGGGTATCTGGGTTTGAGGTAGATCTTACATTGCACTTAAATTGAAAAAGTGATCTTATGCTTAAAAAGGTTGGAGACCACTGTGATGTAGAGCAAAAAAAAAAAAGTGTTATATATTACACAAGTATAATACTTGCGTGGGATATTGATTAACTAAAGAATTGGAGTCCATCATCTGAAGAAATTCACCAAAGGATTTCACTGATACTGCAATAAATCATCCCCTCTCTGGTGAATTATATAGAGGAGTCTTTAAGAGTATTGAACTGAACATCGCATTTTAACACTTCATGTTATCCCATAACGGTAGCAGTGAAGGTTCTAGCCTAGTCCAGAAAAGATAATCTTCCACAGAACAAGGACAAGCATTTTTGATACTGTATATTAAATGACTAAACTCTATAGAAAACTGTTGTGAATATGGTCAGGTATCTACTTGTTCCTGGTCTTTCAGGCGCTGAGTAGACATTCTTCATGTATGCTGATGCAAAATTCATAGTCTGTTGAGTTACATTTTGTGTGGCAATAGTGGTATTTTAAACAAGTCCATACCTTGATTGTCACCCTAAAGTGCTAACATAAATTCTACATCAATATTCCATCAAGATTAATGAGGGTTAATACCTCTTGTGTTGTTTCAGCTTCTCTAGGACAGTGGTGTCCATCCACTTCTGAAACAGTAGCAACTATAGTGGCTACTGCTATAGCGAACTAGCCACATTATTCTGAAAATTGAAACTAATTGTGAGACTCTCTGAACATACCAATTCTGGTCTTTTAATGTCAATAGAATGCTTCAATATTGGTTTTAATCAACAGAAATCATCACACTTTGTAGAAATTCAATCAGTGGGACACTTGACAATTTGGTTTCGCTGCTAAACCTCTGAAATCAGGTAAAAACTTTTCACGGACAGCAAACCTCAGCTGGGCCTCATATTTTCATCCAGTAACCGTGGCCCATACTTTGACTTAATGTACATCATGACTGTAAAGCATCATTTTCTAAGCAATGTTGAACCAAACATGGAAAAAAGTTTGGCAACTGCAGTTTTCAAAATAGCAAACTAATTGTCACAAAAGTACATCCCATATTGCCAGAACAGATTCATTTTTTGACTGATGGAGCTGGCTTTGAAGTGTGAGCATATCTTCTTCAAACAAATGTTTGTCCAGGTCAAGCAAATTAACAAGGTCTTGAGAATTAGCAATATCAAACTGAAATAGGTTTTTCATGAATCAAAATGCCAACATGAAGCTTCCAAAATCTGCAAAACACTAGCTCAGTTCCATTGCCAGGTTTTCAAGCCATCTCACATAATGCTGACTATCAAGGTCATCACACTCAGATTCACTATCTCCAACAATTTTCTGCAAATCTGGGAAGTGGGTGAGTTTTCCTGCCTTCATATGAATGATAAATAGCTGTAGCTTAGAAGTAAACTCCTGATTGTGATATGGACCTGGCGTCCCCTTTATGGATGTTTCAGATTGAGTTACTCAGATGGCAGAAGATATCAGTCAGGAACCACTAATCAAATTGTCATTGCTTATCTTCAGTATCAGAAAAACTGTCCAGCTTTCCTTTCTCATCAAGAAAGCCTCTGATTGGAGCAAGCAGTGCAGGGAACCACTAAAGCACCTTTCCACAACTCAGCCATCGCACATTAGCAAAATTGATGACTTCAGAATGCTCAGATTTGATTTCTTTCAAAAATTCCTCAAATTGGTGATGGTTCAGAGCACAGCTGTGCATGAAATTCATGATTTTTATCACAGTGTCCCTGAAGCCTTTCAGAGTATCTGTTGTGGACATCTGAGCGTACAGATTATTTTGATGCAAAATACAGTGGCAGGAAAGCAAGTTGCTGTTCATTTTATTAGATTGGAGATGCTCTTTCAGAGAAGAGACAAATCTAGAATTTTTTCCCATCATTGCTGGCACACCATCAGTTGTAACAGAAGCCAGTTTTGCTAAATCCAAGTCGAAATCATTTGAGACACTTTTGAAAGCACTGAATATATAAGATGCATGGGTATACTCTCTTAACCCACATGCTGATAGCAGTTCATGAATCCAGAAATCTGTCACAAAATGAATCCAGAAGATGAGCTGAGCAGCATCACTACTGTCACATAACTCATCCAGTGCCAATGAGTAGGCCGAACACTGACCAAGTTCAGCATGCAACTGGGTTTTGAGATCACTAGACAAATCTTTTAACTGATGTGTGACTGTTTGGTGACTCAGCTGCAGATTTTGAATGCTCCATAAGATGTTATTTCTCATCTGTTCGTTATGATTTTCAAGCAGGTTTCCATGACTAAGAATAATTTCCTTCACCATTTCTCCGTCAGACAATGTCTCCTTGCTGCGAGCCAGTATCCACACTGCTTTATAGCTGGCCAAAGTTATCAGTTCAGATAAAGATAGAAACCACTTCAAATCCTTCTGCTACTTTTCAAATCCAATTTCAGCTGATCAATTTTATTAGCTCACTTTTTGCTTCCAAGGATACATTGGATCAAAATCATTGTGCTGCCCTTGGAAATGCCTTCTTACAATGTCAGTATTATTTGCTAGAATTGTTGTACGACACAGCAAACACATTGACTTTTCATTCACCTTGATGGCATATTCAAATTCCTATTTCTCTTGAAATTTACATTTGATGTCCTTCCTATCTCTTTTTCTTGGGTGTAGTTTCTGCCAATAATTTGTTTGTTTTCAGCATTGTTTGACTTGACATAATTCTGAAGCAGGTAAAAGAACTACTGTTTTCTAATAATGTACTGATCTACGGATGAAATTCTAAAAAAAAGAATTAATATTTTCAGTTTCAACACAATGCAGAAATAAGAAATATTTCTAGGGAGACCAAAAATGTGCCCTCATTTTAAAATTTAATATACCTGGAAGTGGTTAAACTTGCTAAAGTTTTTTTAAAAATTTTCAAAAACAGGAATAACACTCAAACTGTTTTCTTCAAATGTGAGCTTGTATGTTGGATTGTGTTGTTTAGAATGGCCATAACCAGCGTGCACTCCCTCCCTCCCTCTGGAAAAAAAACTTTTGAGAAGTAATTTTCATATACACCACTATATTTAATGAATGAAATTTTTGGCCAAACTTTTAAACCTAGTTGTGAGTCCATGATGAACTTTCATTTAACCTGCATTTAAATAGAAGATTGAAATGAATGCCAGAAGACTGGCCAGCTTAAAAACTGAGCTGCTTCATACAAGAACAAATCATTTCAAAAAGAGAACTCAGATGTACTTTCAGAAAGGCTTTGACTATA